GAATTCGCCACCTATTCTTTCCTGAAAACATGAATATTCAGACACACTGAGAATATCAGGTTGCTATATTAAGTGCAATCCTGCACGCGTTGACATAGTTCTTTCATCGCAGTCGAAGGAAAAAGTTAGGTACTACAGCTTACGACAATGGAAAAAGGTTTGTTACCATAACAGTTTCAGATAAAATTAAGTTTATGGGGTAGAATAATACACGATTTGTTCGTCCATTGAAGGGATATGTAAAATATATCGCCATGCTCTATTTGTGGTTCGTATTTTTAGCACCTGTGCTCGCATCGAGCATTTGTCGCATGTTTATAAAACCTCGCCAATTTCCTTTGCTGATGTGAAGAATCATTTCTCATTTATGTCATACGAAATTGTAACAATATTCTTGGGGTATTTCGGGTGCATAAATCTCATAAACGCGAAAGGAATCACAAATCGTATAAAGCCAAACTCCGAGAAACTTCGATTCGTTCATTGCAGTTTCATTTTCAAACGGAAATTAATTATCTTAAATGGAAAGTATTGCATGTACGGCCAATGACTTGGCCGATATTGGCTGCAATGAACACTAACAGAAGTGGTCTCGGGAACTCGGAAACTGATTTTCGCGATCCTTTCGCTTTCTAAATGTATGAACTAATTGAGCGATCAGATTAAATGTGTACAAAAGTAGGTCAATGTAATAGGGGTTGAAATAGACACTTCCGTGTTTGGACTATCCTCGGAAGCGCCTTTGAAGCGCCCTTAGCAAGAAGCATACGCTATTTCTGTAAAGGCTGTTTGGAAAACTAAGATCCCGTAAACTAAAGGAACAAAACGACTCAGAAGGAAAATTTCCACACAACTTCTTACATTAAGTGCACGCAGTAATCTCATGATCGGACTGTTTCACATAAGTATAGTTAAGAAAAATATAAATCGAATAGACTCGAAACATGAATGCATATTAAATTAGTGTATGTTAGTACTAACAACCAGAAAAATAAGCCGTTAGATCCTGAAAACTAACCAAGCAACGTTTGATTGTCATTTCTGTATGCGAAGGAACGATGCGATGCTTGTATTTTTCCGTGTAGGGATATGTAAATATTTTTAGCCACGTCAGACATTGTCTGTCACGCAATTCACGCAATGCAAATATAACGCACGAACAAGGTACAAAGTACAAGGGTAAATAAATTCACAAAGAGAGAAAAAGTTTATTTCAAGCAGATATGAAATTTAATGTGATTTTCCTGTTGTGAAAGCAGTTTGGGTTTTAATAAATCTGTTACGTTGGTATGTTAGCTTCCAGTTTGCCACAAGGGTAACCACAAAAAATAACAATCAAGATTAAGGCAAACTGAAACTGGTTTCCCTGAGTAGTCCCGTGAGAGTTTTATGACTGCCAATTTACCACAGGAACCGTAGTTGCCTACTAGCCTACTCCAGGTTTTCAGATATAAAGTGAGGGCAACGTGAAGAGAAAAGAGCAGGACAGAAAAAAGCGAGGGGGGTAGGGACAGAGGAAGCGTTCTCCCCCTCCTGCTCTACCGCGTTTTACCCCTCCTCTTCGATCACCATTTCGCGCCACTCTCCGCTATCTAAACGCCTGGAAAAGGCTAAGAGCTGACCGGAGGCAAGTGAATGCCATTTTTGGTTGATCGCAACATTCGAAACGCAAAATAAAACTGTCCAAAGGGGCTACTTTGGATTATGGCTTCCATTTTTCTATGTTAATGTTTGTGGCAGAGAATTTGACCCAAGAAATGTTGATCTTTGTTCTTTTACAGAGGTGGAAAGCAAGGACGATGGCGGTGACGTGCTCGAAAACCACGATTCATTCATCGTCAACCAAATCACTGCGCAATTTGAACAGTTGCGCAAACTTCGAGAGGAATTACACGACGCTTTTCTCAGCTGGATACCAATAAGAACGCGCACTAAAAAACAATTAGAAGAACTGGCAACAAAGTTACATGAACATCACAGAAATGTGAATATCTCAACCATAACAGGAGCATCCATGGGTACCATAGGAGGGATCCTTTCAGTTGCGGGCCTCATTGCTGCACCATTCACATTTGGGGCCGGGATCGTAGTGTCCCTTGTAGGGGCAGGAATTGGTGGCGCGGGAGGACTGGTCATGTCTGGTTCTAAAGTCGTTGAGATAATCTTAGAAAAGTTAGGACTCAAAGAAGTGCAAGCGGCAATTGAGGACGATCGTGAAGCTTGTAGTGAGCTCCAGAAACAGTTAGACTCCTTGGAGAACTTCATCTCTAGCTTAGCAGAGTTCCTTAAACCGCTGCATGATGACGCAGTTTTGCTCAGAGAATTAGAAGGAAGTGGATTTGAATTTCTTAGTCAGCGGATATCCTATGAAGAGATCGGCGCGTCCACCGAAGAGAGAGTAGAATTCGGTGCCAGGTTCTTCAGAGCAGCGACTTCCGCAGCCACAATATCTGCATCAGCAGCCGCTACTGTAGGCGCTGTAGCCAGAAGTGCGGCTATTACGGGGACGCGCGCGGCACACGTTGCTGGTTCTGTAATCAGCGCCGCTCTGTTGCCGCTGGATATCACGTTACTCGTCAAATCATCTTTGGAGCTGCATCGTGGATCCACATCTACTGCTGTACAAGATATCCGGCGGATTCTTGACGAACTTGAATGCCCAGATAAAGGGGAGATCCAAGGTTTGGTGGAGAGCTTCATTGATGAGAAATTTACCGAGGCGTATAATAAGATGGACGATGATAAGGAACAGGAGCAGAATCGAGACAGTGATGATAGTAACAAGCAGGATAAACAAAATGATGACATAGAAAAACGACAAGGAACAGAAAAAGAAATATTACTTCCAAATGATAGTTAACTCAAAAACAAAAAGGTTTTGAAAATGATGGAGATATTGCTGCAGACGACGCTGTTACAATAAAAAATAAATGCACGTCAAATTTTCTCCTTCTAGGATGTAACGTTTTGACTCACGCAAAGGAAAAAGTCATACATGTTGTAGTAAATGTAGTAACTGTATCGTGTTAATGTAAAGAGTCAAATAATATGAAAATGTGTATCATAAACGACTGGTTAGGTTTGGTGAACTACGATCCCATGGGTCCATAAACACTTATACAAATACCCAGAGAGGGCGGAACAAGGAAAGAGAGTGTAGGCGGAAGCTATTATCCCAGAGCGGATTAGGAATACTACTCCTTAACCCCTTAAACCCTAATATCAAAATTCAAATTCTCATTTGTTATCCCTATACGTTTTCAATGGAAGTAGTGGGGAGAATTTGTTGAAGTATCAATTGGATTCATCTTATGCGATCATGTCCTTAACTCTCATGACCACTCTGTGGGCTCCTGACGTTGATCACTCTTAGGGCTTGAAGAGCTTCTATCATGTTTATGTCTTCCCCCAAAACTGGAGGACCGTTGCGTGACGACAAAGAGAACTGACGAGTAGGAGACTGGGTCACGAAACCGCGAAAAGAACGGATTATTTTGTCTTAAACATGTTCAGGAATTAAAGGACTCAGCGGCACATTCGCACCCAAACTTCATTTTCGCATTTTTGTTGAACAGCACCCTAATACCAGTTTCGTTTCACCGGGGATCTTGGATTTCCGCTTAATTGTTACTTCTTATGTTAGCAGGTGTGTTAGCTGGCACTTTACAGTTTCTGAAGGTGAGTTGTTGAAATCAGCCTCGGCTTCTGACTGCCAGTAAGGCCGCTGCTTTCAAAATGTTGAGGGCAGGATATCTTGTTACTTGGTCAAAAAACGGTTTTTAACCTCAACAAATAGGGAGGCCCTTCCCGTGACCAAACCCGAAGCGCTGTGACACTTCATTTTGGTCATGAAACAACCGCTCCACCTCGAAAACATCTCATGCGGGTCTGAATCCGTTACGGTTTATATACAAAGTTTTACCTCTCAGCCGAAGAAAAAGTATCCATGCGTTAAAAAGGAACACCTACTCTCCGTCCCCCTCCCCGCGCAATCCCCTTGTTAGACATTTCTCTGCGTTTTTGTCCTAAAAGCAGTTTGCCCTGCATTTTGCTGGATGCACAGATTGATTTAGTAAGGAGGGAGGCCAGGCCGACATCTATAATATTGGTCTAACAGAACTTTATTCATATCAAAAACTAAAGTTATATACAAGGTTGAATACTTGCAGGAAAGCTAAACATGATGTATCAGTCACTTTAAAATAGCAATAACTACAAAATATAATTCTATGGTGACGCTTACTGTGTATCAGTGGAGCATTATCACAATCATTACACTAATTACATTCCTATAGGAAAATTTTTTCATATGTAGCTCTATGTTTAGTTATCTAAGTTAAATGTAAATGTCCATCAATTTGTTCCAGTCTTCCGGCATTATGGGTCATTAAGACACATTGTTATTAACGCTAGGCTTCACGATAAGTGGAGATTTTTTAGAAGTTAGTAAACTGTAATCTATTCTAAACCTTTTTAGCTTTTAGTTCTTTTGGTTTGTTCAAATCACACCCTGTGACTATGTAAAGCTATAGTAATGACCAAACAAATTTTCTCTCCTCACAAAAACCCACACCATTATTATGAAAAAAACTCAAAACAAAGCAAAACAATATATAAACAGAAACATAAGAGCTTGGAGATTGCTTAGAAGCTACCTGATTGCCGAACTAATAAAAAACTTTAAAACTTCTTTTTAAAAAATCGAAAATATAATGTCTAAGAATGCAGCTCAAATTATTGCTGTTCAGAAAAATATATTTACACATGCTTAGATAAATACTTCATAGTTTATTTTCCTTGCGTTTGAGAGATTTTTCCCTTGCTGAGTTATTTTGTTAGCACTAAGGTCTAAGCTTTGTTTCTTTTGCAGTTAGTATGTGTGAGTGCAGTGCTGCTAGTGAAGCGTTTTATACATCCATCAGTTATCTTATTGAGCTTTAAGTTTAGAAAAAGCAGTATTGATTCAGCTTGAAGTTGTTTAGTTTGCAGTTAGTGTGGTGTTAATCAGTTATCTGATTAATAGCGAGGTTTAATCTTTTCAGTTCGCAAAAACCCTGATTGTGTTGGTTGCCAGCTAACAACTTCGCAATCTCAATACATCCTAGCGACTGAAGGTTGTTGGCGGCTAAATCAAAATTCAAAATGAGAAAGATACTTCACAGTATATGTTCATTGATTTTAGGAGATTTTTACCTTTATCAGTTATGTTGTTATACCCGAGGTTTAAGCTGTTTAGTGTGCGGTTAGTGTGTGTGAGTGCTGTAGCTAAATGTTCAACTCCTTCATCAGTTATGTTGTTAGCCCCGAGGTTTAATCTTTTTAGTTCGCAAAAACCCTGATTGTGTTGGTTGTCAGGTAACAACTTCGCAATCTCATTACATCCTAGCGACTGAAGGTTGTTGATGCTTAAATCAAAATGCAAAATTCCTTCAACAGATTTAAGTGCATGCACTAATGCTAAACAGTCGAGAGGTGACAGGTTACACCTATTAAAATCAAGCGCATTACAACCAATTTTCGCCAGTTTCTTTTGAACTTTTCGATTAGAGGCTTTGTTCTCATACATGCAATTGAATAGCGTCACCACTAATAACCTGTCTTCATAAGCTGGCCAACAGGTCAGTGTTTCAGTTCGTTCCTCTGAATATTTATTCATCTTGATTTCAACTTCTTCAGTAAAAGTTTTTGAGGGAAGAAGGTCACTGAAAATATCTGTTGATTGTTCTCCTTTTTGAGCCAGCAGTCCAGCCACAAACTGCATCACAACCTTCCACGCGCCATCCTGGATGTGATCGGAAACGAATTTTCTCAGTTTTCTACGACTCAACGTGTCCACCAAATACTTCGCTGCCAAAAACTCCTGCACGGTAAGGTGTAAAAAGCAATATTGTGGTTTTCCCTGAGTTAAACTGCTGCAATCATCAGGTAAACGGTGGAACAAACCATTGTTTTCCTGGCCATGGACTTCGCCTGATTCGAAAACGAGTCTTCCTTCTTTGATTCCTTGAAAAGCAATTTTTCCCAGTCTCTTAAACAATTTTTGCACATGTTTAGGTAACGCATTAAATGGCTGTAGATAAAACTCTTGAGCTTCGTGTGATGGATAACGGCTTTGGATATCACCGTGACAAAAGTAAAAAATCTTGATGGCTATGGAGTATAGTTCGGTTAGTCTTGTAGGAAGGACGCAGTCGGAGACGGGTGAGTTCAGCAAGTGTAACAAGCACGAACAAATTATGAGACAGTTCACAGGAATGTAGCAGAAGGATTGGAGGTTAAGGTTACTTCTGATGTGTCGCTTTATGGTTTCTCCTTTGCCATCATCGCCTTTCTCTTTTGTGAATTTGTCCACATACTCTTCCACTTTATCAGAGTTGAATCCCAGAATTTCAACTACTCTTTCAAAGGCAATAGGTGCTTCAAAACATGACACGGCGGTTGGTCTTGTGGTCGTTAAGACTGTAGCACAGGGAAGGATTTTTCCTGATAATATCTTTTTGTACAGGGAATGAAGAGGCATCGAGTCTTCTACATTGTTATTGATCGAAATGTCATCGACATTGATTTTAGCCTTTCCAGAGTATTCGTCAAATCCATCAAATATAACGAGTACTTTGTCTGGGTTGTGAATAATGTAGTGCCAAACTTCATCGGATAGAGGTAGTTTAGAATACTCCGATGCGTCCAGAAGTCTGCGAAGACTGAGTTCTTCGTTTGTGTGGTTAAACTTCCTAAACTTAATGAGGAAAGCGAGTTTCAAATCCATTTCAGATTTCTGTGCATCACTGAACAAGTTATCGGATGCCCAATTGCGCAGAATCTTTTTGCAAAACATAGTTTTTCCAATTCCAGGACGACCGACAACAAGAATATTCCGTTTGTCAGCATCAAAAATATCTCCAGGCAGTGTTGATCGTGATTCTTCTCTGGGTCTGTGGTATTCTTTCAGTTGTTCCTCTCTATCTGCACTAAATTCATACAAAGCTCTGTTTTCATGAATAATCAAGTCGGTGTAGATGTGGTCAAGCTTTAGATCTCTTTTTGAGCCTTCACCCGGATTGTAATGGAAAGGTGCAGCTGGATCTGCGTAGGCTTTTCCGGTGACACTACGGACATGTTCCTTCATACGTTCGATGAAAGTGGCTACTGATGGACTGTTAAACTCTTGTTGCTGCTGTTCTGACAGGGATTCGTTGTCAGTTGGAGCGGTAGATGGTGGATTGGTGTGACTGTCATAATTGTTGAAGGCGTTTAGCTCTTCGGATTCTGCCGTAGGGGCATTTAACTGCTGATTCGAACTCAGATAATATTTATGAAAGTTCGGGTCTTCCATAAAGTCCGTTACATTTCTTGCACGTAATAACATGAAGAGAGACTCGATAAACACAAAAAACGCAAAAGTTCCGGTTACAACGATCACGGCATCAGACCAGAAGGTCTTCTTAGCTGCTCGTTGATTATGACATTCGTATGACGTTTGCGTTTGTGTTCCGTTGCGAGATCCACTAGCCGTGATGTCTGAAAACTTCCCGTCTCTCGTTAAGTTACAATTGAAGTTCGAGGGAAAACTGAGAGGATAAAGTAATTTGGTCTGCAGGAGGACAAAAGAAATCCCGAGAGCAAATCTGGCAAGAAGTTGCAAACAGTACGCTTTGAATAGCTTTTTCCGGGGAGTCGGTTGCCCTTCTACATCATCATCGGCGTTTCTAGCGTTGTTTTCAAGTTCCTCAACTTTCGACTTCACCGCTTGTGATTATATTCCACAAACACTTGCAGTAACAAGAAAGTTAATAATCACGAATCCATAAACAGGGAATTTGTTGTATTGTTCTTCGTACTGTTCGTAACACTTTCCACGAATGAGTTCCTTGTCGCCAGTTGAGCCACAGCGAAAATCAAATCTCGGTTCGCTGTTTTCAGTGTCTAGAAAGATTGCTGATAGGATAATTCCGAGCAAAATCCAACATACATTTGCCACATAACTGAACCAGTGGAGTGTTTTAGGAGCAAGCAAATCTTTAAGACCTTCCATATTGTATGCCTCACGATTTCTCGCTTATGAGCTACAAACGCTTGCATTTAGCTTTTGTATTCTATTAGAAACAATGGAACCAGGAAAATGATTCAGATGTAGTCAACCACGGCTGTTGGGTATATTTGAATCACAAAAACACTGTTTTGTTCAACATTCGCGTCAGGTCAAAGTTTTCGTATCTCGAATATTCGGTATTATTGCTGAAGATGCGCATAAACTGGTCATAGCATTTCTGTTTGTGAGCAATCATTCCACATGAAGCATGGGATTTTCTGCTGTACCTCCCCGCGTACAGGCTCTTTACAGCAGTAATGTAGGGGCCCTTTACAGCTATACCGGTGTTGCTAGCTATACGTATCATTCTTGAAATATTTGTGGCAAATTTAAAAATTGCCGTAGGCGTGAATCCTATCGTTTCCAACGGAGAGCACTTGGGAGGGCCGAGATTAAACTTTTCCTCCCAAAATCAGACAAATTCTCCCACCAAGTCCCACCGTGTGATAACTGCGATATCTAAAACGGGGGAAGACGAGTGAAGAAAGTTGGTCAACCTTGGCTAACTCTGACAGTGCAATTTTGGCATGTATATTAACTATTGCTATTTTTGCGTGCGTTTCAGGCCAAAGAACTTCCTGTCTCTTTCTTTCTTTCTTTTTTTTTTTTTTTCATTGTTCCCCGATGAAGAACGCACCACGCCTCCCTGTGGGAGAAATGCGATATCAAACAAGGGCACAGACGAGAAAAGAAAGATTCCCCACCTTGACTAACTCGTAAAGGGCAATTTTGGCGTTGTTAAAAAGTATTGTTATTTTTGATTGTTTTTCGGCCCAAAAACTTTCCTTCTTTTTTTTTTTTTTTTTTTTTTTTTTTTTCATTGTTCCCCGATGAAGATTAGGTAGGCCTGTTAAGACAATCGACAATAGCTAAAAAGATGAACAGATGCGTGCCTCTGAGAAGGAATGTGGCCGAGAAGCCTCGGGGGATGAGGTTGAAGTTTGTACTTTCCCAGTTCCGCACGTGTACACATGAAAGCAAAAACATGTTCGTTTTATTCAAAAACTTAAGGTTTTATGATGAGCAAGAGTCAGTCAAGTCCAACCCCGCAAAACTCGGTGGGGTCAGTTTTAATCTTGTACCCAGATCTCACTCTGGCCGTGGAAGATCTGGGTACGAGATAAGGGGAAGACTGAAACGGGCCCTTTAAAGTGCATGTAAAAAATACTGAAAAATATTAATTCGTTTAATATTTTCTCTTCCCGAAAACATGTTTATAAAAATACAATATGATGTCTGTAGCCAACGCACCAGCAATAATATAAGTCGTAAAGGAGTTTTAATTCAACTGGAACAACTCGAACTCTTAACCTTATTTACATGATGTTGCCAGTGGTTTCTACGATAAAGTAACAACATAATACATTAAGAGCGGAACGACTAATTACAACAATGGAAATAACTTGGGAAATACAGATAACATAGGAAATACGAGATAAACGAAGACAGAGGACATTACCTGACGATTTGGGAATACGGCGAACGAAGTAAGATAAAGAACGTAACGTAGTTGTAACAGCTAGCAAACTCGAGCAAGATACTTTACGATTTACATAACCCGCGCGAAAGTCGAATTACTTATACGTAAACACGCGGACTGGGACTAGGCGGGGGATTGGTTACTACAATGTCTTTTCTTTGTGTAATAGTGATAACTGGTTGCAAAGAAGTAATTACATTTTTATCCGAGTGTAATTCTCTACTTTTTAGACCAGCCACTATAATTTTCAAGGCTAAAATAACTTTTTCTCTCTCTCCCCAAGTTTTGAGGAGTGAGAAAACAGTCGATATTTCCCGACGCTACAACTGATTTCCCGCGAAATGACGTCTGAGGATCGACTACCGAAATTCTATACCGATGACGTGTCACTGTCCAGATCTGGATAGTGACACGTCATCAGTACGGAATTTCTGGGCTCCTTCTTCTGACTTCATTTCACGGGGAAACCAATGGTAATGTCGGGAAATGTCGGCCATTTTGTCATGCGACCAGTTTTTGAGGTTGGCTTCAATCAGAACTAAAACCCTTTACAGGATCAAAGTAATCTTATCTCTAAAATTCTGGATTATAAGTTTCTGGGTAACTACGCACCTACCCCTCCCCTACGCCAACATTTTGCCCTAAGCGAGAAGTAAGTGTTAATTTTGGCTTAGGGGAGGGGTAGGTGGGCAGTTTCCCAGATACGTAAAATGGTTCAAAATGAAATTGTCATTCCAGAGGTACCATCCTCAAGGACGCTCTTCAGCTCGTAAAGTAGCCTCCTATGCCGACGTGATGAAGTGGAAACCTTCAACGAGGGAGGCTACTCCTTAAGGCGCTTCTACCGTCCTTATGATCCTTCTTGATAAGGGAGACCTGGTCATAAGAGGAACTCTTCCTTCGCAAGTAACGATCATGCAATTTCAAAAACAAGGCATAAAATATATATATATATCTGTATTCTGTTATAGAATTTCTACTTTGACAATCTTACGACTAAATTGTTTCTCGCAATAAGAGATTACTTGAGGCAAATATTGCGCCATATATGTTTACATATAAAATTATATCAAATTGCTGTAATTTGAACTACAATAGTGACTTATGCTTAATACATTTTACATAATTTTCCTGCTTAACGTCACGAAGTGTCACTAAACGACTCTCTGGTCTGAAATCAACGCCATTACCACCTTCCTTAACAGGACAAGATATACTTCATGGTCTAATGCCATATAGTCATTTGCCTCACATGACCGCATGGCCGTAAGAAGAAGGGGTCAGTATCTCATGTAAGACTATGTATAATTTTGCAAGCTTTAAATAGCTGTAGTAGCTCGCAATAAGCCATGAGTATATATCCACATTGGTAGGTATTGTGGATGCTGCATGAGAATTGAAAAAAGGTTCTCAAGAGATCTAGATAATTCGCCGAATCTCTTATTCCTTAACAATGGGCTGTGAAGTCGCTCTCCAAACATTGCAACCCGAATGATTTCGCAACTCTCATAACATCTCGAAATGATAACAAAGATTTTCGCTTTGTTTTTAAAAAATCCTTGTTTGAAGATGCCCACAAGCCGGACCGCCGATGGCTTAATTCTAAACTCATTATAAACTGATAAACGAAGGGATACTAACGTACCCGCGAATTCGCAAACGAAAGGCTCTAGAACAAGGTATCAGGTCGAGTTCGCCGATTCGTTTTTAAGCCGGAAAAAAGAAGTATTTATTCGATTAAACACCGCGGTGTTAATTAAATTTTCAGCGTTTCCGATGAGGCGTTTATTAAAGGGCGACGTTTGTTGAAAAATCACTTTTCTTAAATCACTGACAACAGTTACTGTAAATCGTTTTTACATATTATGTACTTTAAAGGTTCCAATATCTTTCTTATTTTACAGAGGCAGAATCGTAATTGTCTGAATGGTGTAGATTACCAAGTTGTACCGAGTTTTTTCTCATTATCCTCAAATAGACGCCGCATTCTTTTGATTAGGTGCCGCGTTTATTCGAGGGCGGCGTTTAATCGAATAAATACAGTAAGCATAGAAAGACAGTGACTGCACACGTAGATGTCGAACGGTCTTAACTAAAATACCATCTCTGATAGGTATGTTCACCCTGTTACAGAGTTTTGTATCAGGCTGTTGCATGTCACTGTGCGAATCGACTTAAGTCCACACGAAACACCGTTGGACAAATAGACGTTTGGGCGAAATGACCGCAATTCCTCTTACAATGTGGTTAACAGGAGAAATTTGAGCACTGCAGTGTGATCTACACACCGCTTAGTTCGACATTTCAACGCAAACAAATAGCTGGGTATCCGCGAAGTGTGGCCTAGGCTACTCTATAACAGGCGATTGGCTCTTCCACATCGAAAATTCTCTATTAATAGACGTGTTAGATGTAGGTCGATGTATAGCTATGTATACACAACTTGCCCTTGAATATTCACAGCTTCCCAAACGCGAACCTCAACCACGGAGCTGTTCCTTCAACATTATTCAACTGAAAAAGTGACAGCCTTTTATTCACATGAACAGGCTGTTCATTGCAGTTTTCTATTCCTGACCTGAAGAAAGTTAGAATTTATCCCCTTTGAAAAGCTAACTTTTCATATTCAGGAAATCCTTCCAGTGGAAATCTGTTTACTGCTGCAGCTTGACGCTTAATCCTTTCTGTTACTTCAGTACCACAGAAGCATCAAGCTGAGCTCACAGATGCATATATGAGTTGATAACGATAACGCGACCTTTACGCACTGCTATTATGAAGATGTCGTTACCATACCGAACATTTGTTGTGATGTGACGCTGCGTTACGTTGATGACGCCATGGATCTGTTTAGTATATTAACAAGGATACTGGATGGCCAGTCCTTGGAAATTTCTCCAAATAGATGGCATTCATTGTGTACTCCTCCTGTTTTTCGTAAAACGAGACCAAATGATCTAGCAATATGAAAATAAAACAGGAGGATTACAATTTGGAGGAGCGTAATTGAGGATTGAATAGTAAAATGCAAAACAGGCACGTGGGGACGTAAGATTAAGTTAGAGGTAAGGGATTGTGGCTGTGTTTGTGTTTGCTAATTCTAGATGATAACAAAATCTTGGGAATTGTAATGTGAAGACCGTGGGAATTTATTACCGCAGTAGAACCAACTTACTTTAATTTCCCGCAGTAGGTTGGTGTTTTCAAGTCCCATCTACAAGAAAAAACAAACAAGTTAGATTTCAAGATAACCATTAAAGAAACTTTAATCTCATTACAAAGAACTTCTTCTCAGAAAAAGAGTTGATGGTACCTCTTGTCGCTAGGGTCTATGTCGGAGTAAAGAGTAGACTTCATATGGAAATTCTGTCTAAAGAACACTCTGTTGAGAAAAATACAGGAGGGGTTATGTTGTAGGAAAAATAAGATACGTGTGATGAATACAGCATATAGTTATTATGACACAAAGTGTATTATGGTATACAGTTTGAGAAGGGTGGTATTGTGAAGAACTAAACACATGTAATATTATGGTATGTAGTTAATAACGGAGGTATTTCATAAAACAAAACAAATCTAATACTGGTATAAAGTTTGAGGAAGTGGTATTGTGAGGAAGTGGTAGCCAATCTTACTTTCGTTCATTGTCCGTCATTGCCACTCCCTGAGGTGTCATCTTGAAGCTTACAGTGGTGAATTTCTAAGCAGCGTCCTCTGTTGACAAGCGTTCAACGGTGCGTTGTATAGCACTTGCACCTGTTTGCATCTCAACATCACACTGCCCAAGATACATCAGTGAACCAACTGTAAGTCGAAAAAAAAAACCAAAACAAATCAGTGCGCTAAAATTGCTACCGAGATTTGCTCGCAAATTTTTGATAAAAGGTGCAATCTTGGACACAAGTGAGGTAATTGGCAGAAACCTCAGCGGGAATGGTGCAATACATTAGCGAACCAACAATACGCAGTATATATCAGTGATCAGAGACAGAAAACGAAAATGTTTTAAACCACAACACGACAGATATCTGCACCCTTTGGCCACGACTGACCGTCCTCTGTGTCAGCCGACTGGGTTTTATCTTCTCCTGAGAGATCTGGAAATAAAAAGAAATATAAACAAACTCAAAACATGTAAATACACTAACAAGTGGACAGCAGAGAGAAAATATGGGATGACCAAAGAAGCGTTTGCAGTGCTCTCGTGGTCACCCAGAAGCCGGCGGATTTATACCTTACGATCTGTTAGCACGATCCGTCGGTCCCCAATAGCCTCAAAATAACGGTCACTTTACAGTAACACGCTACGTACCCTGGCTACAGAGGTCCTTTCTAGAAATACCTAATTAGGGTGAAATACCCCGTGCGCATGCCCCAATATCCAAATACAAATTCTCCAGACTGATCTACATACTTTTCCTTAAAGAATTAGTTAAGAGAATTTGTTTGTAGATCAAAGCTTTTCACATCAGCCGATCATTTTGTTAATTCTCACCAAATTTTCTCTAAACTATGTACTGATAACATTAAGAGAAAGTTGACTTTAGTCAGTCAGTCTTGGGACTTAAAGGGTTAAACTACCGAGACAGGAGACGAACTATGAGGAATTAGGCACCCACGGTAAAATCCAACTAGTGGTCTATTATCAATGCTGCGTTCTGATTGGTTGAGCTACTACTAGGCTATATGTTATAGCCCACTAGTAGCGAAAAGTGGCAGCTTTGAAAACCAAAACAACGGCGACAGAATCGCGCTTTGAGTGATTGATTTCAGTTTCTCTTGCGGCCCTTTTAACTCCCCAGAGAAATTGAAAACAATGCTTATGCAAAATTTTGGAGTGACCAACAAAGAGTATTATGGTATGTTGTGGCATTTTCTGTAGTGGTCAATAAATTATTGGTCACTATTCAGACTTAAGGGTTTATGTTACATTTATAAGGGTTCATGGCCCCATGGGTTCAACTCCTGGCTGGAACTCCCAACTTTTACTGAGTTCTTCTCTCCACACATATCATTCTATTTCAGTATTATTTGATGCTACATAAGCTAGGATAAACGGGATACCTCATATCAGCTATTTCCATTAGAATATCCTGAATAGCTTCCACATCCGCCAATGAATCCTTAGCTACTATCTTCTCACCACTCTCCCCTATTCTGACAGTATCCACTGGGCTTCTAGTCACTAGGGTGGTCTGCATCTCATTTCTTGTACGACTTGCAGGGCTAAGAATGTAAACACCACATATGGTTAGTACCAACCCACTCAATTTGGATATTTGCGTTTCACTACGCAATCTAATGAAATTTTTTCTCGGGATCACCAAGGAATAATCCATGATATTGATTAAGATTTTTATACGACCGTCAGACTCTTTGAAGTTACTTAATGTTACTGAGCTTTATTTCAGCTCTTTTCAATAACAGACAGCATGTTGTAAAGTATTTAATTTAAAATTTGTCGCACAACGCTTAGCAGCAGGGTGGGGTGGGTGACTATTTACCTGCTTTGTGTGCTGGTCTGACCAGACTGCCCAGAGAAAATGTCCTCTAGCCTCGCATATCCCAAAGGACTTCATCCATTAGTTTAAAAAAGTTAAAGTTAACATTTCTCTTTAGTAGCCTCTAAAATCACAAGGATCACTCGACTAGTTTTGTCAGCCATCCAACCTGCAAGAAGACATCGCCACAACAACCATCTACAAACACGTATCCTAGCCATAAAATACCACCAACAAACCTACCATTCCAAATGTACCTCCTTCCTCAAGTCAACTCATCAACACAATAAAGGCCAGCAACTTCGCCACCAACTAAACAGGATCAACTCCACACACAGACTCTTCCTCTACCTTTTCAGACAAGACTCACCTTTTCTTTTGCAATACATTGCACATAATTATCAGGAACAGAATCTCAAATCGCAATGAACCACCTTATTTGAATCAGCAAAAATCAAACTATCCTCATCAAACAAAATCCACAACTGCACTACAGAGTCACTACCACCTGATGCCATCTCTCTATTTAACAAAGGAACTAACTTCATCCCCACCACAACCACTACCAGCATCTCTTCTCTCCAAGACACTGTTACTTCCAAAGTCAACAAAGATCTCTGTTCACTCATTCGCAAGAAGAACTACACTACCAGAGTCAAATCATGAAACACAACAAAGTCACTTCGCCGTTTCCATCCTTACAACAAACAGCTTCATCCACTTCCTTTACTACATCAAGAACAATTGAGACCTCACTTCAACCTTCACCTTATTGACCATGTTGACAGCGCTGTTTCATTCACTAAAGAATTTTTAAAACCTGCTAAACAACGTTCAATTATTTATCCTAATTTATCTAACATCTACCCACACACCACATCTTACATTACAGACATACAGAATGACAATGACATTATTATTTACAGTAACTGACAAAAACATGGGTTGGTCCCTAGTGCCCACCTCATAGTTTTCCACTGAATACAAACAACATTTCTCTGACCTTTCAACATACAGGCATAATTTGACAACTTTAACTGTAAACAACCAACACAGACTCCCACACACTACTTGGCCGACTCAAAAAACTGTTTTCAACTATTATCACAAATCATGATGACTTACGACTGCTGGTCCCTACCCCACAAGACAAACTACAACTACCTTACACGAAACAACTACTCAAAGTACATAAATGTGACAAACCTACCTCACACAACAACCTGACCAAACTAACTGGAAGACTGCAATTATCACCGCCCACAGTTGGATCATGTCATGTCTTCATGTCTACTGGGAATTGCACTGGACAGAATTATTTTGCAACTGAAAAACCTTTTTAAAGAATGAAACATACCATACCCCTTAATTTACAACTCATATGACTTACTGTTTATATTAGACAAACTACATTTTACCAACATGTACGACTTGTGTCTCACAACTTTTGACTTTACATCCCTTTACACCAACATATCATACCATGATGCTGCTACTCGAGCCATCATCATGAGCTGCAAACTGCTTAATTTGCCTAACTTTTATAGGGTCTATTTACTTTAATAACCACAATAAAAACTTAAGTCTTTTATTGCTGGTGATACCTCCTATCAGCTATCTGGGGGTCGCTACGGATAGTTACCATAGCCGACAAATTGTGGACCTTGTGCTCTCACTAAGCGAAAACATACACAAGCATACTTGTCAACCAACATTTTCATGCTGAAGAGCAATTTTACTACAGTATTGTTCAAATTATTAAAGTAATACTAAATTTTCAGTGATTCTAATATAAATCACATGTATGTATTCGATTCATATCATACATGTTGATTTTATGCAAATCGATAGTTTCTCCGTCCATTCATGAAGATTTGCGTGCTTCCTCTAAACCGCTCGGGTTGCAAATTCGGTTCATAGATCAATAATTGATCTACAATATCGTCCAAAAGCAATACTAAATTCTCAGTGATTCTAATAGTGTGTAATTAAACATTCCTTTTGTAAGTTACCAAGCACAAATTTTAAGACAGATAATACAACTATAAATGTATTCTGAGTATTTTTTTTCTGCCTTTTTGTATTTTCTCTTTTTATTTAACAGACATGATTAATTTGTAACATGTAAAAGAGGAAACGATCTGTGATGTCACAAAATTATTTCAAAGAAAACAATAGAACGACTAGTGTCATGACCTCAAAAATTGTGTGAATTATCAGGAATTACAGGAAAATACATACACTGTTCAAAAATAAAATTATTTTGTCGAAGGAATAACATAGACGTAAGCAGAAAAAAACTGGCAAAGAAAATATTTGAATACTATTTCTTTATGAGCTTTAAATTCTAAATATCTTAATATAGATTTTACTAACAAAATAATTTTTTTCTGACTTTTGAGGCTTACCAGCAAAGCTAATTTACCTAACATTATTTCTAACCTCTACACCTAATACTGACCACAAATACCTATCACTTTCACGACAAATCACCATACCACTCATTACCTGGATCTCCTTGTCACTCAACAATTTCACCATCAGATACCATATAGTCCACTGTACCACCAGGCCCGGGTTGTTCAAACGTTGGATAGCGCTATCCATCGGATAAATCACTATCTGGTGGATAAATATTAGAAAAACCAATTGCACTATCCACTGGATAGAGATTTATCCGGTGGATAGCGCTATCCACCTTTTGAACAACTGGGGCCAGATCTACCAGAAACCACACCATAAGTACATGTACCCTCATTTTTCTTCAAACCACCCCCATCACATTTTCTCTGGCATCATAAAAACTGAAACAATACGATACAGTAGACTGTCAGCTACAATAGACAACTTCAATTTCATTCACCACCATTTCACACTCAGCCTAGGGAGCTTTAGCATCGACGATGGTGACGGCACCAAAAACGTCACTTTTAAAATGAATTCGGGTTTCTTCAAACTTTGTTACCTTTATTCTAATTCGCTGAAAATGTCAAATGTAGGCAAATTTCTATGGAGTTGAATTCTTGGAGACCTCACTCAAGTTTAGAAAGAGAAAGAAAGATTCGTCATCGCTTGTTTATGTCCTCGATAAAACTTGCAATTAGGCATTTTCATGTCGTAGTCATGCAGTGACAGCAAAGAAATGTACAAAAAAGCATGCATGATGCATGTGCAAATTTGTTGTTTTGCTTAATAAGCCTATTGCTTTTTGAAGTTCTCATTGACGTCGCCATTGTCGTTGCTAAAGCTCCCTGCTAACTGCTTTGGACCACTGGCCTAGACAACTGATCACTGAACATTCATTTCCATGGATTACATGTACTGCTCACCAATGACGCCTCAAAAACAAACAAACTGATCACATCACCAGATGCACTGTTTCCTACAAGACTTTATACAATAAAGACAAAAGAACAGAGAAACTGGTCAACAACATTCTACACAAATACAACAACCCATACATCCCCAAACTTACAAAGGCATACTGTAACTCAACTAAACTCCACACACTTCTACTCACGTATACATATAAGGGACCTGTCATTTATTAGAGGGGGGGGGGGGGGGGCTGGTACAATGTTTTTTCCCAGGTGAATTTTTTTCTGCCCTTCCCCAATTTCCTGCAAAAAAAAAACCGTAACCCTCCCACTTGTATGCCCAAAAAAGTTATGTCCCTCCCCACGCTAAAAGATATGACAGGGATTATTAATAAACAAGATCAACTTTAACCTTGTGCAGTTCGTAACAGAAAGTGTGCTGCTTTCCTCCCTGATCTTGTACAGGTAGCAACGCAAGAGGAACTGGATAGACGCATCAAAACTCACCTCAACACACCCTTTTACTCAAAGACTGGTAATTTGATGCGAGGAGAAGAGTATTCTAAATTGTTTGATGAAGATGTTATTACAAGGCTTGATGAAGCTAAAAAAAGAGTAAACAGTAAATTGAAATATCTTAATGAGAAACTTGATCCATGCAAAGACATGTTTCGTGGTGTGTTACTGTTGAAAAACAAATCAAGGTAAAGATCACAGAAACAGAACAAAGGGAAGAGCAAAGAAGGAAACAACAGGGAGAAAGTAAAAATTTTAAACTGCTTCATCAGCTTTTGTCAGCAGACTTAAATTCAGATGTTATTGACAATGTGAATGTAGAATCTCTTACACGCCTTTCAGTTAGACAGGTCAGGTGGCTGACAAAAATGGCAAAGAATGGTCACTTGATAGTAAGAGCCATTACAACAGCACAAGACTATCAAGAAGGTTTTATGGAAGAAAGTGAGGAAGAACTGGATACAGATGAAAGTCTCTCTGGGGAAGATAGTGACAGTTTGACAGAGAATGAGGAGCGTGGTGACTAAACCTTGAATATTGTGATGCTCCATTGAGGGGTATAATGTGAGCTGGATTAATTTATACTGTTCCAGCATTTAATATGTATTGATTAGTTCGTTCTGACAGAAAATCTTCAATAACGATTACATATAAAATGTTTTGTTTGATATGTAAAGACCACTTTCCATGCAACAGTTGACATATGTGTAGGGTTGTTGAGTTGTTCGGGTTGATCATTATTAAAGTTTAAAATGCTCACTGCACTGCAAGGGACTTATTTGTTTAATAATATATTTTATTTGTTTATTTATTTTTATTTTAAGTGAACAGCAATGTTTGCCAAAAAAGATATGGCGGGCTCCCCAAAGCCCAGCTTAAATTTTAAGTGACCCTCCCCTTCTTTGGCTGCATAAAATTTAATGACCCTCCCCTCCCCCCATTTGCACCAGCCCCCCAGGCACCTCTAATAAATGACAGGTCCCTAAAATGTTACACAAAAGACTAATCCTATTTAATAACCCTACCACTTAAATGTAAATATTATGTCAATATACTTTGAATTCAAAATATACATTTACCAGCTCCGTTTCTCTTTATGTCAGATCTTTTCTAGTAATTTATCTTCATTGAATGTTTACATCATATATGCATCTACCACCACATAAATAGTAAGCTTTTCCACAATAATATTTTTTCAATTCTTTCTTTATAATACTAAGCATCAGAAATTTAATATTATACTCTTGATAGCATATAACATGAATGTTCATATGAACATTTAATACGTAATTATAATGCAGAATAATGTAAATAATTTTTTTATTAAAAAATAAAGACACTTAATCTTTTTTTCAATTATCCATGTTTTGATTTACCTAGTCCCAAAAGTTAAATTTCATATGAACTTTACACTACCATTTTTAGATAAACATGTAAATATTTTTATCAATATTCCTAATCGCCAATCGTAAACTTTATAATATAGTTTAATTTTACTATTTCTATAGGAATTTATCAATAAATTCATCCAGATGTTTTACATGCAGCCAGCTGGTGTCAATTTTACCACAGCAACGTATTTTCACCTTACGTTGCCACGTTTTTTAAAACTCCTTTTCATCACTAGCAGTCAAACAAAAGTTAACACCCTTTTCTTTTAGCTGTCCATATGGAATACGACAAACCGCAACACATACAGGCATAAATCATTTCAGTTCAAACTAAAAGCTTATATTATTAATGCAAATAGAACGATAAATCGTATGAACATGCTTCTGATTCCTTACCTCGAGCGAACCGGACTTACAATCAGCCTACACTCCCAAGTCCTCTACCCACTTCCATGAGAAGCCTTCTTTTAACAGCGCCCAAAATACTTCGCAGCAAATTTAAGTCATTTTCCATCCTTGATTAAAAAGAAGCCACAATTCTCCTTTCACGTTGTCGCCAGCCAACGCTGAAAACCTTCCATTAGCTATACCATGCGCCCTTGCAAACCTAACTTTTACGTCATTGGCTCACGCGATCATGGCGTCAAACTCAAATTCAAAAAGAAAAATATTTTTTTGAGGCTTCACTGTGCTCACGTGCGGACTAAAAACCTTGTAAACAAGAACTAAACGGATAAACAGATAAAGAAGGAACTCTTTATTCCACTTTACGAAAGTTTCAAATTTACATTTACTCTCTTCATATAAAACCGGTTTTTATCGTTATATTTTCCCGAATTAAAATGTTTTTTCACTATACACCACTAAGTTTTTGTAACTTTTTACAAAAGCAGAACCTTATATCTTTTGACCAGGGCGGATAAAGGTTGATGTTTGGCGATAAAACGACCGCGTCAGAGCAAAAAGCTGTGATGCAGTATATAGTCTCTATATAAGGAATTTAATTTCAGTACTGAATCAATCTGCTTATCATCTGCGATAAAATGATGGATTGCTATTAGATTTCCCTCGTGGGAAGATCTTGATCTTTTTCTGTTAATGCTCCCACATAGTGGAATGCATTACCCATCTCGTTAAGGAAATCAAAAACAGTTCAAAAGTTTAAATCCTTACTCAAAACATATCTTTTTTAACTAGCTCTTAATTCTTAATTCTTTTTAATTCTGCTCAGCTATGTGGCAAATGTATTTTGGATTTTGCTTGGACTTATCGTTATTTAGTTTTGTGGCAAAATAAAACGTGCGTTTTATTAATGAAACTTGTGTCATACACCTTGATGGCGTGCACCTTAAACGAGATACTGAGGAAACTGAGCTCTCAGAGTCACCACCCCTAGGCTAGACCACCCCTAGCTCCCTCTCTTGGGACACGCACTAGCCTGCGTAGCAGGCGCTTGGAACTAGTGGGAGCAAGAAAGAACGGGGCGCCCGTGTCTCCCTCTCGCGCGACCAAAGAAGGATTTACAAAATTTCGAGCAATACTGACAAGAAAGCGAGATTGCGCGCAACTGCAAAAATTTGGGGAGCGCGAGCAAGCGAGGACTCGTTTAAATTTTGCGAGCAAATCGAGCAAAGGTAAAATTTTGCGATCAGTTAAAAATTTCAAAGGACCATTCATCACCCCTTTCACTGGCAGCACTGCACTCACACATACTAACTGCAAAAGAAACAAAGCTTAGACCTTAGAGCTAACAAAATAACCCAGCAAGGGAAAAATCTCTCAAAAGCAAGGAAAATAAACTTTAAAGTATTTATCTAAGCATGTGTAAATATATTTTTCTGAACAGCAATAATTTGAGCTACATTCTTTGACATTATATTTTCGGTTTTTTAGAAAGAAGTTAAGTTTTTTTTTTCAGCAATCAGGCAGCTTCTCAGCAATCTCGAAGCTCTTAAGTTTCCATCTATATATTGTTTTTGTTTTTTTTCCATTATAATAATGTGAGTTTTTTGTGAGAAGAGAAAATTTTTTTGGTCACTACTATAGCTTTACATACCAACATGGTGTGATTTTAAAGAAAAAAACAGTGCGTATTAATGACCCATAATGAAGACTGGAACAAATTGATGGACATTTAAATGTATAAATTCAACTTAGATAACTATACATACAGCTACAAATGAAGACATTTTCCTGTTGGAATGCTACTACTGAACATGTAGGCGTCACCGTAGAATTCTATTTTGCGATAGTTATTGCTTTTTCTAAAATTGACTGATTCATCATGTTTAGCTTTCCTGCAAGTATTTTTCCTCGTTTATAACTTTAGTTTTTGATATGAAATATTATAGATGTCGGCCTGGCCTCCCTGCTTGGTAAATCAATCTGTGCATCCAGCAAAATGCAGGGCAAACTGCTTTTGGGACAGAAAAACCAGAGATGGGTCTAGCAAGGACCCCCTTTTACCGCAGAGATACTTTATCTTCGGCTCAGATGTAGAACTTTGTATATAAACCGTAACGCACTTGAGGGAAGTTTGGGTACGGATGTGCCGCTGAGTCCTTCAAACCCTGAGCATGTTTAAGAAAAAATGATCCGTCCTTTTCGCATTTTCGTGACCCACTCTCCTACTCGTCAGTTCTCTATCTCGTCACGCAACGGTCCTCCAGTTTTGGAGGACGACGTAAACACCATAGAAACTTTTTAAGGAGTAGTCTCCCTCATCCGCTCTGGGATAACAAGGAAAGAGAGTGTAGGCGGAAGCTATTTTGCCCTCTCTGGATATTTGTATAAGTGTTTATGGACTCATGGGATCGTAGGTTCACCAAACCTAACCAGTCGTTTATGATACACATTTTAATATTATTTGACTCTTCGCATTAACACGATACACTTACTACATTTACTACAACATTTATGAACTTTTTCCTTCGCGTGAGTCAAAACGTTATATCCTAGAAGGGGAAAATTTGACGTGTATTTATCATTCATTGTAACAGCGTCGTCTGCAACATTATCTCTATCATTTTCGAAAACTGTTTGTCAACTCTCATTTGCAAGTAATATTTCTTTTTCTGTTCCTTGTCCTTTATCTATGTCATCATTTTGTTCATCCTGCTCGTTACTATCATCACTGTCTTGTTCTTGCTCCTGTTTCTTATCATCGTCCATCTTATTATACGCCTCGGTAAATTTCTCATCAATGAAGCTCTCCACCAAACCTTGAATCTCTCCTTTTTCCGGGCATTCAAGTTCGTCAAGAATCCGCCGGATATCTCGTACAGCCGCAGATGTGGATCCACGATGCAGCTCCAAAGATGATTTCACGAGTAACGTGATATCCAGAGGCAACAGAGCGGCGCTGATTACAGAACCAGCAACGTGTGCCGCGCGCGTCCCCGCAAGAAGCGCGCTCCTGGTCACAGCGCCTGCAGTAGCGGCCGCTGATGCAGATATTGTGGCTGCGGAAATCGCTGCTCTGAAGAACCTGGCACCGAATTCTACTCGCTCTTCGGTGGACGCGCCGGTCTCTTTATCGGATATCCGCTGACTAAGAAATTCAAATCCACTTCCTTCTAATTCTCTGAGCAAAACCGCGTCATCATGCAGCGGTTTAAGGAACTCTGCTAAGCTAGAGATGAAGTTCTCCAAGGCGTCTAACTGTTTCTGGAGCTCACTACAAGCTTTACGATCGTCCTCAATTGTCTCTTGCACTTCTTTTAGTCCTAATTTTTCCAAGATTATATCAACGACTTTGGAGCCAGACATAACCAGTCCCCCCGCGCCGCCAATTCCTGCCCCTACAAGGGACACTACGATCCCGGACCCAAATGTGAATGGTGCAGTAATGAGGCCCGCAACTGAAAGGATCCCTCCTACGGTACCCATGGATGCTC